TATTTCTTAATAGGGTTTCACTATGGCCTATAAACTGTTTCAATAATTAAAATTTTATTGGACACAGCGATTCTTATTCATTTATTGTCTGTGGTAACTTTCCTACTATAATAACTAAGCAGAATAGTTTTGACAGAAAGCACATAACCTGCGATGCAAAAATATTTACTAACTGGCCCTTCATAGATTGCTGACCTCTGTTCTCCATTAGATTGAAGGTAACAGATTTAACCTCACATTTTTGGAGTCAAGGGAGAAAAGTTTTTCTGTGTCCAGTTACTCAGGAATCCAATTACATGGCTTTTACTCCATGGAAGCTTCCTCTGATCAAAGTATTGTCAGGTCTTACCAGTACATGTGTTAGTCTCACTTATGACTTCCCCCTACATAAAATGACCTGTCATTCTCCATAGTCATCTGTAGACTTAAATTTTAGCAGAATTTCATTAGTTTTTATTCTTCCTTAACCAGAAAAGAGTAAAGATGTATCGAATAAATCCAATGGCATGGACATAATAATTTTTCTTTTGCCCTCATGTTTATTTCATGTTCTTATTAGTTGTATGCCACATGCCCATGTTATCAAGAACTTTCATTTCACAGATGTGAATACTTGTACAGACGTTTACTATCATAACTGTAATAACCAGCCAGGTAGTCAACAGCAAAGCTCAAATTTCAAACTAATTCTCTCCAATGGTCACCTCCATGCTCCTATCCTTATGGTTATACCTCTGGTTTAATCCTTTAAATCTAGTTTAATTTTCTGCTATATAAAATGCTTGTGTACTCTAACAAAGTAGGAAGATATTATCACATGGGTATTGAGTCCTCTGGTACAGCTGCCCACCAGATGTCTGACCACAAGAATTCCACAGATCTCCATTCTCACTGTTTACATGTCTTAGACATGATGCAGGTGCTTAGAAATAAGGAACGGTATATAGTGGTATGGAAGGCTGCCAGGTCACGCAAAGGAGCATGCAAGCTGACAAGCACCCCTGAACTTGGCCATAAAAAGACACTGGAAGAAGCAGTGGGATATTTCTCAGCAAGCCTTCTGAAAGTTAAAAATCTGCTATACATCTATATTTGTGTAAATGAATAACAACTGAGTGACACTATTTTAAGGGTTGATTTTCACTTTTGTCAAAATGTAAGCTAAAATTCACATGCCGGTTTCAACAAATATGTGAAGAATTTTCATGTTACAAAATTGAATTGTAACAATTATACGTAATTTTAACTGATAAATTTACAATTAAAACAAATGTGTTTTTTTAGTTTTTACAGTCTAGCCAGATAAAAATTTAGCTTTAGGAATGATAATGAAAACATTGAAGTAAATCAATATACCTTGCTTATATTTATATTAATATTAATATTAACCCTACAGTAAAAGCAAGAAATAAAGAATCATGTAAAATTCTGGAAAGTTTCCTCATACTATGTTTTGCCTAATGGGCCCTCCCTCCACTTCACTATCACAGTGCTATTTCTAAAAAGATTTAACTCGAATGTCACTTTTCTGTGAAACTTTCCTGTGCCCTCAGTGACAAAAGCATTCACAATTCCTACAAAAGTCTGACAAAACTTTAATAACAGCTTTCACTATATACTGTGCCTTATTTCCAAGTCATCTGAAATCTGACAACTTATGTCATAAGCTCTTTAGGACAGGCCCATTTTTCTATCACCAAATGACAGAGCCAGGCACAGAGCAGTAACATAATAAAATAATTACAGGGAACAAATTTAAATTACAAGACAATAAATGCTCACAATAAACAATTTGAATGTTTACAGAATTAGGAGGAAAATGTTTCTATTGTTGAATTAGTGTGAAAATAAGACTTCATTTATCATCACATGTATCATAGTTTTTATTATTCAATCAAATGCATGAGGCAAACTCCCATATAAGCTCTTTTTATAAAGTTTTTCTAAAATCAAATCGTTGTTTCTCAAATATACTAGCAATTATGTAAATTAGAATTTACCTCCTGATATATTTCATATTTCAATTTTAAGAGTCCTCAAAAACATATCTAGAACTGTGGTTCTTCATTTAAGAAAATTATTTTCAAACTTTATTAGGTAGGAGTACTTCTGATATCTTATCCTCATCTTCATAAGTTTCATATATGTCTCTTAAACAGTAATAATTAGGATTCAATGTAAGATTTTATATGGAAAACAGTTGACAAAAATTTTTAATATTTAAAATATCAACCAAGAGTAATTTACATTAGCTTGCATTTACCATAAAGAAAATGTTTAACACATAAGGAAACCTCTGAACACTTATAAATTCTAAATTACCTAAAATAATAATAGTAAAATCACAACATCTGAAATTTAAGAGGCTCCACATATTTACTTATGTCTTAAAGTACACATCCTTCTCTTTGACTGCACTCACCCAATTTGTGGTAATTTCTTTTGAATCCTATATGGTTCGTATAATTTATATCATCCAAGATTTTTCTCCATGCTATATTGTTTGTTCATTCAAGCTCTGTCTCCAGGAACATCTCTATATGTTATATTAAAGTACTACTTTAAGTGTAGTCTTCTATTATGTGAGTATAAAAATACTTTTATTGATTTCAATTGAATCAGTAAATCTCAGATCTATAGATCTTTAAACTATAATGTGATATTCCACTGCACTGTAAGCAAAATGGAACACCAAAGCCAGTTTCAGCATGAAATTAGAATATGTCACCATCTTCAATGACTCATCCTATAGGTTAAACATTATCTTCTTCAGGACTCCTCTATCAAAATACAATCCTGTGCAGGCCAGTCCCATGAGCATGTCACCTGTGCAACCACTCTGAGAAGGGCCCTGTGCTTGGCTTAATGCTCTCATGTTGCCATCATGAAATTCTTAGCAAGTTCTGGACAAGGGACCCAAGTTTTATTTTACCTGACACCACAAATAATGGAGCCACACTGCTGATGAGAGTGAGAACACATGAAACCATAATATTAATTGGTCAAGTGAATAATTTCTTTAAGTCAGTAGGAAATTGCAGCAAGAGCATGAGAAGAGACATCAAATGCCTCTCTTTCAATAGGAGGAGGAAAGAAAACATAAAAGAAACGTTATATTCACAAATTAGATCAACTCTTCAGTTAATAATTATTTACTGAGTATCTACTAAGTACCATGTATTGTACCAGATGCTGAGATTACTATGAACAATGCTGTTAAGTCCCCACATTCATGGAGGATTTTACTCTAGAAAAGAAACAGACAATAACCAGGTCTGTTTGAGGAAGGAGGGGCTCAAAGGGCAGAGTGTTGGAGGAGGACTTACATCTAGTTTATCTCTAGCATTGCTACCTTTGGTAATGTGGCAAAATGATAACAGTTAATTATAACAAGTGACTTTTTTATTATCAAGAGGCAATTCTTGAGTATTTTCTGCCTTTATGATTATCTTTTGTCTTTTTCCTTTTAGAATTTTTGAAAATTTCATGAATCACTGCTGGTCATCTTCTCCACTTTGTAATTTACAATGCACAGTTTCAAATACTAAATTTTACATATATTTAGAAATTAATGTTAGGGATCATTTTTTGTGAATAATTCCTGTGCTCACTCTTGTGATATCACCTAGGGCATTGATATAGGCAAGTAATGGCTCTTTGCTGATTTAATGACTACATACAAATAATGACTAACTGAACGTATCAACAGCTTTCTATTCAATATCCTAAATTGAGTCCATCCCCTAGTGCTAGCACCAACTTTGAAAGATTAAAAAAAAGTTATTTTATTGTTATTGTTTATATAGAAAAGGACATTTGCCCCCACCCAAAATTTTTTCCCATTGCTCTGACTACCTTTTATATTAATTGTGACTGATAAAAATCAAATATTCCTTAGAAATAATGCACAGTGGTAAAAAGTAAGAATATTTGGTCAGCCTAAAGTATGGATGTATATTCATAATGGAGTAAAATCAATCCAGTGTACACTGCAATTTGGAACCATAAGAAAAACAAAACAAAACAATTTGGAACCATGAAGAAAACAAACAAACAAACAAACAAACAAAACACGAAAAATCTGTTCAGATACAAGAGTCAAAAAGCTTCCTAACTAGAAAAGAAGACTATTTAAATTTCCTCAAGACAGAGTATGCCTGCTAACTATATTTGTGTTCCCTTTACAATACATATCATTCACCATGATTATATAAAAATCTTATAATTCCATATGGTTACTGGCTGGCAAAATAAGCAAAGCTTCTTTGGAATTCTCCACATACACACTGACTGCAGTTCATGGGACCACAAGGCTGTCAAACATCCGACAGTTAAGTTACTGTGTCCTATACATAAGCCTTTAATTTTCCTCATGTGCAGATATGCATTTAATTGAGAGAAAATTGATAACATGTTTTCATTTTCAACCCCCAAAAGAAGGACTTTCATTCCAGTATAATTTTATATTTAACCATTATTACTGTGAAGAGATTCTATCATAAGGTTCTTTGGAAGTCACATCTGATTACAACTTTACCATCTTTGTCATTGGCTTATGTTGGTAGAAAATACATTTGTTATATATCTTGTATTTGAATATTCAGATTTCTCTGAGTATTTTCTTCCTAGGACTCAATAGTTTCCATTAGATTAAAATTTATTTAAAATGCCTTAACTTTTTAGACATTTCTTGTTTACATTTATTAATGTGATTTTAGAGTGCAATAAAGGTTTCTCATTAATTAAATAAAAATAAAATGAAACAAATAAAAGGCTACTATTTAGCCTAGAAGCTAGTGCTATTAATTTTATTTGCACTATTTCTATAAAATTTATGTAAACCCCACATGAAATTAACATGATATATATTGGTAATTCAGAAGGTTAGAATTTGTTTTTAAGAAGCTTTAAAAAATAAGAATGTTTGTAGGCTGACTGAGTCGTAAAGGTAAGAAAATCATTCTCAGCATGAACATCTTTGGAATCATAAATATGCTTACCTGTGCTGCTGGATATATTAACATCAATACTGATATCAGCTATTCCTCCTCCCTTCAGAGATGCTACACATGTGTATGTCCCAAAATCTGTGAATTTTAAATCAATGATATCCAAGTTTGTCGTTCCTGGAGACACATCTGGATCAGTCTGTGTAATAACCATCCGCTCAGAGCTTCTTAATGGACGACCATTTTTAAACCAACTAAATGTTAACTCCTCAGAAGGAACAGCTTCTACTTGGCAAGATATTTTCACCTCACGTCCAATCTGGATGTTGTCATCTTTGTGATAAGGATCCGGTGTGATCCAAAACCGTCCCTTTTTTAAGGCTAAAACATAAAAATTCCATAAGTAGTTAGTGTTACTTTCACAATGCTAGGGATTTCATTCACTCTAGCTAATCTCTGGGCTGAAATAAAGTAAATAAAATAAAGCAAATAAAATAATATATATTCTATCTATCTATCTATCTATCTATCTATCATCTATCCATCTATCTATATCTTAATTATTTCCAATTAATGTTCATATCAATAAACCTTATATAATCTAGAAGTAATCTAAAAACCTAAGTCACTTAGAGACTGTAAACAATTCAATCTGGTAACTGGCTAGCAAAACAAGCAAAGCTACTTTGGAATTCTCCACATACACACTGACTGCAGTTCATGGGATCACAAGGGTCTTAAACATTAATTGGATAATATTTTCCAGTAATGTGAAAATGCTTTAAATCTATACATGATACATAAACATTGTTGCTATTGAACTTATAACAAACAATATAACCTGTTTGGATAAAGTAATTATGAATTATAGTATAAAATAATAATAATAAGTCAATTCATTACTTATCTCATCCCTCAATTATGACACTGCTTAAACAACTCAAATATTGCAGAAAATTTTTCTAAAGTTGAATCTACATGATGACCAAAACTAGATTTGTAAGATTTAAGTCAGTTCACACCATGAAGCATTTTTATATTAATATATTGAAATAACCTGAGTTTAAAAAGATGTTTCTTTTTTTAAAATATATTTTATTGACTTTTTACAGAGAGGAAGGGAGAAGGATAGAGAATTAGAAACATCGATGAGAGAGAAACATCGATCAGCTGCTTCCTGCATACACTCTACTGGGGATGTGCCCACAACCAAGGTACATGCTCTTGACCGGAATCCAACTTGGGACCCTTCGGTCTGCAGGTTGACACTCTATCCACTGAACCAAACCGGTTAGGACCATAGATGTTTCTTGTTGAAACTGCTGAGTCTCTTGTGTGTATGACTAACAGAACCTCTTGGCAGGGCTTGGAAAGCTGCTGTGTTTGTATTCCTACAGCAGGGTTCTCTCTCTGGGGCTAACTTCAGTGCTGTTGTCACAGCCTGGTTCAGGAGGAATGACTACCAAGGGCTTCTTGGGGAGCATCTATTGGTTTCCCAAGGGCTCCAGTTCTGAACTTTGAATTACACTAGGGACACAATAAGGAATAGAGCTTGTTCTTTATATGGCAGTGGTTCTCTTCTGCACACACTTTTCTCTTTTCCAGTATTCTATTCATTTCTTCTCTCTTAACATCATCATCTATATATGATGATATGAAGCACATGCAGTGAAACATTATTATCAGAATAATAATTGTTCACTTACTTTAACCAATAAACTTAACTATATAACGACAATGGTAAAAACTATGTGAAAAACTGTGGCTTTGGCTCAGTGGGAAGAGCATTGGCCTGTGAATTAAAGTGTCCTGGGTTCAGATTCCGGTCAAAAGCATGTACCTTGGTTGCAGATCTATCCCCAGCCTTGGTCAGGGTGTGTGTGAAGGCAACCAATCAATGTGTCTCTTTCACATTGATAGATATTTCTCTCTCTTTCCCTTCCACTCTCCAAAAGTCAATGAAAAAATATCCTTAGGTAAGAATTAACAACAACAATAACAACAAAAAAGAGAACTTGCAAATAATGGAGGCCTTCTAATTGTATTTTGGGTTACCTTTCCTGAATTTAACCAGATTTTTCTCAGTTGGACTAATAAAGGCCTGGAAACACCATGGGAATATAGAAAACTATGAAAGAATGCACTGAAGATTAATACACTTTTTAAATCTTAGAAATATTTGCTTTTGACATTATTTACTCTAGAGTACCAAATATTTTATCTGCTTTACTGTTTGAATCTTTATGAGGAGAAATAAACAAACATCAAAAACAATCTCTTCTTTCTTTCTTTCTTTCTTTCTTTCTTTCTTTCTTTCTTTCTTTCTTTCTCCCTTTCTTTCTTTCTTTCTTTCTTTCTTTTCTTTTCTTCTTTTTTTCTTTCCCTTTTCTTTCATTCTTGCTTACTCTCTTTCTTTTTGTTCAAAAAATATTTATAGGTCTCCTGTTCAAAAATAGACATTAGGCAAGACCCTAATTACAAGACCCTTATTACATTAAAGAAAATAAATATAACCCTGTCCCTCACATATTGCAAAGTATTTACTCACAGATTATTAGTACAATTTATCTGCCTAACATTTATGATACTTATGTCAAGAAAATCTACAAGCTGCATGATGTTAAATGTTTTATAAGTGTGAATAACTTTGAATCTCAGAGAGGAATCCATCAAAATATTCTTTACAAAATGCACAAAGCTTCAGTCTTAATGAAATATCAAGACAAATATTTAAATCATATTGTCATATTGTTTGTTTCCACAATAAAATGCAATTTATGAACCTTAGTCATTCCTAATTACCAATTACCTATTTATTAATACATGGCAGTAGGATAAAATTAGAAGAAAATATAGCATTATATTATATACAGTCATATATATATATTTTTAATAAACACTAAAATATGAATTTTAGTAGAAAGAGAAATGTGCTAAAAATCTTTATCTGTTTACTATATTTGGTGTATAATATCATGCATATATAATTAAAATCTAATTTAAATTCTATAGCATATAAAATATTCTTTTTTTTTTTTAAATGATTTTAGGGAGAAGAAGGGTGAAAAAGAGAGAGAAACAGAAATGTGAAAGAGAAACATCAACAGTTGCCTCCCACAGGTACCAGGACAATGGGGATCCAACCTGAAACCTGGACATGTGACCTGACCAGGAATCAAAACTCGTCACCTTTTGGTGTAGGGAAGAGACTCCAACCAATGGAACCATCCAGCCAGGAAGATTATCTTTTTTATTTTATTTTATTATTATTATTTTTATATTTTATTGATTTTGTACAGAGAGGAAGGGACAGAGATAGAGAGTCAGGAACATCGACGAGAGAGAGTCATCGATCAGCTGCCTCTTGCACACCCCCTACTGGGGATATGCCCGCAACCAAGATACATGCCCTTGACTGGAATCGAACCCGGGACCTTTCAGTCCCCAAGCAGACACTCTATCCATTGAGCCAAACCGGTCCCGGCTTATTTTATTTTTTATAAAGAGATCTAAAAATAGTATTTCAAGGAGCATTTACTTTGGTTAGCATTATAAAATTTCAATGAAGTTTCCTTTGATTTGGTAAGAATTTTTCCTATCCTGTTTCTAAGTGATAGACCTAAATAAAAAAAAATTTTAAACAAACAATTCACTATTTTTAAAGTTAAAAAACATACACACACCAACATTATGCTAATTTAACAATTGCTTCATATGCCAGCATATTTAGAATAAATTTAATTATAAAGTTATATGTCAGCTTCCATGTAACTACACAATAAAAACCGCTGAAATTTCCATTGTTGATTTACTAGGCAGTTATGTTTCCTAGCCCTACTTTAGGAATAGTGACATATTAAGGTGATACTGACATTGAGAAACCTGGGAACTCATTACAGAAATTGGGTTGAAACTATTAAACAATTCAAAGCATAAGATTAATAAAAAACAAAATTAATATCTATATTTTGTGTTATTCATAAAAATAAGTGAAAATTCAAAGTAAAATATTAAAATTATAAATCTGATAATCAATTAACGAATAAAATTAAGTATGCTATAATTATATTTTAATAGAAAATAATATAATCAAATGAGCTTTAAAGAATAAAGCTATTTGTTGATGTCAGAGTCAGATAGTTTTATAATTTGACCAAAGGCAATCATATTAGATTCTAAAAGGGAAGAGGGACAAATGAGTCCTGCAAGTGATCAAGAAAGCTCAGAAGAAGCAGCACGGATCATTTGACTGGAGAATATCTGTTTCAGCTTGCTTTATGTTATCTCATAATAAGCTACCCAATTTTGCATAGATAACAGTAACATTCTAAGGCGGGGGGAGGGGAAGGGAGCATGTGCTATGTGTGTTTGCATACTTATCTATAGTAACAGAGGACAGTTAAATTATTTTCTAATTTACTTTGGCTGTTCAGAACACTGAGAGCATAGCTCTGTAAACTAGGCACAGATACATTAAGAACTTGAAACCTAATACTAGTCTTTCATTTCTATGTGGTCCAATATAAGCAATCTACTTTTTCTATCAAGTGCACCGATTATAAAAATAGGGGCTATAGTGTTAGGTGCCCTCTGTGACCATGGTGAGAAATAGCTCATTAGCAGCAGTGTAGAGCTTTGAAAACAAAGTGTTTAATATAGTTAATCAACTAGGAAGCAGGTTCCTTCATTTATAATTAAACATTCTCTTTTTCAGTGAACAATTTATAGTAATTCATGCAATGTTAATTTAAAGCCATTTCCTGCTACCAGTTAAGATTTCAAATGCTTAAAATCAATCTGCGATTAGTCCCAGAATATAACAGAGGTACAATGGTACATAGCAAGAATACAGAATTAAAGAAATTTTATGGCAAAGAGAGGAGAAATCCCTTTCCCCAAATGCAATTTCTTAGTTTGAATATTGAAAATCCCCATAACACCAGCCAGAGAGAACATTAGATTTGGCTTAATGTATTATAAATTGTGATAGATGGACCTCAAAAGGTACTTGTTTAGTCTGGCAATGTATGTAAAGAATTGGCATCACACTGAGCCTATGTTCTGGATAACCAGCTTAGAAAACATTGCAATATAATACATAGCCCCCATTTTTTTTGATAATGAGAAACTGAATGCAAATTGGCCCACATTCACTTTAGACAGGTTACTCTTGAGGGAACTGTAAATTGCACTTACTGAAGTCCCTCTGCTTTGAGATTTACAAAGGTGCTATGTGAGAAGAATGAAACCTGTGCATAAAAGGAAGGCCACTGAAAAGATCCAGATAGGGTTTACTGCTGACCTTACCCTAGAGATAAAAGTAGATTTTTGCCTGTAAATGTCTACAGCTTGGATAAAAAACTTCTTTATTTAAAGTGAGA